GTCGCCTGCGACGGCATAGGCTGCAGCCCCTGCTGCAGTGGGTTGCCATGGGCTACCGTGTGTAGCCAGCAGCCAGCATGAGCGGCCAGCAGCCACCGTGAACAGCTGTCCAGAAGAAGGCAACTGATCTGCCTCGCCCAGGAAGAGTGCAATGATAATACCAACACGGGTCAGTAAGGTGATGTCCTCCACAACTACACTGAAGAACAAAAGGACAGCACTTGTCTGTTCCCCTTCTACGATTCCCCAGCGCTGTTTCCATCCCCCAATTCCCCAATAAAAAAAAATCTAAAAAAAATTGAATCAAGCATGCCCGTGTAGCTCCAGATAAAAACTCTGAAAAACAAGGTTCAGAGAGCTTCCTGGTGCAACACGGGAGTGCGCTGGGAGGGTGGTCTGCTCAGGTTGCACGAGGGAGGGCACAGGACCCTGCCCCCTTGCCCAAGGCCTCAGCCTATGTGTCTCATCCACTTTTATATGATATAATGAAAAGGTGATCAGACTGCGCTTTCCTATGTTCTGAGTCTTCCCAGTGAATGATGGAAGCGGAGGAGGGGACTTAGTCGGGCAGAGAGCTATGACTTGGGGGAGCTGTGACCGTGGCGGCTGTGAAGTCGGCGTGGTCAGGTGGGACTGAGCCCTGAGCACAAGGCGTGTGCACTAACCCTGGGCAGTTGCTGTCTGGATGAACTGAATTCAACTGCAAGACACACAGCTGCTAGCAGACAACTGCTGCTGGGAAAATGCTCCATGCGTGTCGGTTACCCGCCAATGGCGGGACCAAGACAGCTCCAGAAGGAGAGGGGTGGGGGGGGGAGTGCACAGGGGACGAGGCAAGAAGTGACATGAAATTAAAGACACACCTGGTATCTCTTGCCACCTCTGCCAGGAAACCTGTGCTCCAAGCTACAGCTCCGCGCCCCCTCTAGGCCTCCCGTCTACAAGGCCATTTTCGCAGGGACAGCGGGAAGATGCTAGCAAGTGAGGGCAGGGACCAGCCGGTGAGCGCGTGCCCCCTCCCCACCCCAGACCATGGGGAGGAAAGCTTCTCCACGCAGGGCCTCCTCTCTCAGCTCCCCCAAAGCTTGGACAGCCCGCAGGGTGTGTCCACAAGCCGGCTGACCTCTGGGAAGCCGGTGGAGGCAGGGCGGGCCGGCGCAGGGCCAAGCCAGGACACTCACCTTCGGGGACAGCACTTTGATCAGCTCGTTCAGGAAGCGGAACTTGGCCACCTCGCTGTGGAACTTCCCTCCGCAGTGGTTCACGCACATCTCCAGGACCTGCACAGACACAGGGCCCCACGGGCAGGGCAGACAGCTGGCTCCAGGCTCATCTCACAGGGTGAATACTCGCTGAAACCGGGCTAGGCTTCCTTAAGACTATGAGGACACTGAGGTTTGGGAGAAAGGGTGACATTTCCAGACTAGGAAAAAAGCACCTGTTTGGTCTTGCTGTAGGCGACGGGTTTGTGCCCAGGAAATAGCTCAGTGAGGTCACCCCACCTTTTAAGGAGGCCCTCTGGGCAAGTGACACAGGTGACAGCAGGTATATGAGGCCCAAGAACCGCTGAGCCACAGGCTCCGTGCTGACTCAAGGGGCATGTGGCACCTCACACACTCTTTGGTTCACACTATCGTTTAACATTTCAAATTAGTTACCGACATTGCAAAATTGAGAATTCACATAAAAATCTGGATTTATGGTTTTTCCTGGAAAACAGGGAGTTCTAGCAACAATGGGCCAGACTCACGCCTGGCCCTGGCCGGCTGGCTGCGTGCAGCGGCCACCTCCTCAGGCTGGGTGTGTGCTCCTCAACTTGGTCCTCGCCCATGGCTCACTCACTCATGTCACCAGCCTGGCCCTGTGGGCCTTTCAGCCCTGGTCTGTCTACAAGGCGCAAAGGAAATAAAAGCCTCCCTTCCTTCTCCCAAAGCGGGCTCAGCACTGCTCTCCAGAAGTTTGAGAGAAAAGCTGACAGACCTGGGGTGGTGACACCCGGAGCCCACACCCCCTGCGCCTGCCTCTCAGGGCCTATGACAATGAACCTGGCAGGCTCTCCCCACGCTGAAACGGGGCTGGGCCCAGCAGGCAGTGGAGCGGAGGCCCCGGGGCCAGCCGGACTCACCGTCAAGGCATAGAGGGCTTCCTTCTCCTGTGGAGACTGGATCTTGTGGGCCAGCAGCCAGGGCGCGTGGGTCGGGCTAAGGGGAAATGAAGACACTGGTCCGGCAGAGTGCACTCGGCCCAGTGGCCTCTGTTCCCGGGTCTCACAGCAAAGCTGGGATGAGACCGGCTCTGAAGACTGACTCCCTCCCACCCTGCAGCAACCACTGTCCAGGGCACAGCACCCTCCCTCCCGTAAGGCTTCGAGCTGAGCAGGCAGGCCCAGACCCGAGGGTGACCAGACCACGAGCAGCACAGGTCTGCCTCGTGGACGATACAACACTTGGCACATCACACTAGAGTGTGATCAAACTTTCTGTTCATTTCAAAAAGCTGAACATTTAGCAACATGAAGAGTAAACATCTGGATTAATGACCCGATTCTTCAGCTCTTATCCAGCAGCTCTGGAAACAGTCGTACCCTGTCCTGCCTTTCTACAGAAAGATTACATTACGTCACAGAGAACACGCCGCTCTTTCACTCTCTACCTTCTATCGACACTCAGGTCTCCTCAGCATTTTAGGTTTTCTAAATAACTGCGTCACAAACTTCTGTCTTGTTTTTAAAAAAACACACACAAAAAAAACACATGAATTTGCTATTTCTAAAAACAATGATGTTGTCAGTATATCGTGAAGAGAAAGAACGCCTAGCTGCTAGGACAGTCCGAAGACGGCACACACTTAGTCAGAGACGTCCCCAGAGTCAAGCGCATGCGTAAGGGGACCTTACCCATTGGGATCAGTGTTCACCTGGTCACAGAAATTCTGGATAGCTGACCAATCCTGTTCTGACATGCTTGGGTCAGTGGCTTTATCTGTCAAGAAAATCAGGAAAGAAAGCGTCATAAAAAGAAACATATCTCCTTCCCCCACCAAAACTATAACTGCCAAGAGCTGTGACATCGCACCTCTCGGGATGGGACCATGCCCACGCTGTCACCACCGTCAGGCACCATGTCTGGCACGTGACATGGCCTGAGAGTATTTGCTGACTGACTGAACAAGCAACGAAGGGGCCACACGGCCAGTGCGGGGTTCACACCCCGTGAGGGCCCCCGCCTGTGGCCCTGCGCTGAGGACGGCCAGGGGAAGTATCTCAGCTGTGGGACAGAACCACCAGCACGTACCCCAGGTTCTCAGCAGCCCCACTGGGTCATCCCACCTCCTCTAAAGCATCCCCGTCATCTAAGCCAGTTTCCTGAAACCCCCCCACCCCCACCGTCCAGTGCAGGAAGCTTCTCCATGGTCAGCAGCTTGTTCGTCTGACCAACCAGAGGACCTCCTCGCCTTCACTCCCCCAAACGCTGTCCCTCGCAGCCACACATTCCAGGGACCCAGGCCCCATCACACGAGTCTCCGCACCGCAACACATTCGTACTTCCGATGAAACCAGAGGACACTGAGCATCTCAGGGCACTAGGGCACAGCCGGAGCAGGGGGTACCTGACAAGGAGGTTGTCAGAAGGTGGACATGAGACCACAGGCCAGAGGGAGGGGCAACCCCGACCTCCCTAGAACATGGGATCGGACGTCCGCATCGCTCCTGGCGCTGGGTGGCAGCAGCTTGTCCCTCTGCGCCCACACTGCACCTAGAATCCCCATCCAGCAACCCAACGCGGATGCGCACCCAGTGTCCCTACCCTGGACGAAACCAGGCCACCTTCCCTCAAAGCCTGTCTTCCTAACAACCGCCCCGCCCACCCCGTCTACCCCGCCCCACTGTCCAGTCTGTCCTGGCCTCTCCAGAGGACCTTACTGGTCCTGACAGACAGGGTCCGATTTCAGGCGTTATGCAGATGCCCAAGGCCCATCGGGTTCCCATCCCCCACCCCCAGTTGCTGTGTCAGCCCCTCCTGATTGCACGAGTCCAGTCAACTAGAGTGTAACTTCCTAGCTGCAGCCACATGCATGTCATGCGGAAGTCATATGTCTCCCCGGCTCAACAGTGAGACTCAAAGGATGTCATCACCCATCTTCCCACCCACTAACTCCACTTGAAGTGAAAAAGGTGACAAAGGAATGGGTTTATCAATTCCCATACACCCTCACCTTTTTCCTCCTCGAAGCGCTTCCCCTATGTTCCAGCTCTCAAAATCCTACCGACCCTTCAAGGCCCAGCACGAACGGCCCTTCACAGCCTTGTTCATGTTTTGTCGCACACCCCACAAACCAGAAGCCACCGTCCCCCTCTGAACGCCCCTTCCACCTGCCCCCTCTTATGATGGAGATGTCTAGCTCCGTCCCTTAGCCGGACGTGTCTCTAGGCCTCTAAGCCTGTTTCCTCAACTCAGGGGAAAAGTACCTTCCTCATGGGCCGTGGTGAGATTGAACAGAGATAAGTGGTTAGTGCTCAGTGCAGCAGCAAATGCCAGGACTGGTAACGGCATCAGAAGCCAACACAGACAAGCCAGAGGCAGGGGACAGCAGGCAGGCCCCAGCTCAGCCTGCAGAGCCCGGCCCTCACCCCGCTCTGCCGCCACGCGCAGAGTCCCAAAGGGCCCCAGCTTTTCCAGAGAAGGGAAGGAACCTCTCTGAGGCTCAGTCCAGCTCCAAACCCTCACCCGAGGCGAAGCAGCAGGCGGATTAGAATGTGTGAGCGTTTCTTTTCCATTTGTACCAGGAGGATTCCCTCAGGCTATTACAGTCCCAATGACAGCAACACAGTGGTCAGAGCTGCCTTTTTTGAGAACTGGTGGAGTGTTTTCCAAGCCTGCCTTCCCCTAAATCCTCGGAACAACTGAGGTTGGGCCTGTCATTTCACCGTTTTACAGGTGAAGAAGCCTACCCAGCCTCAAAGCTAGGAAACGGGCAGAAACAAAAATCTCCGGCCTCCTCCAGGGCCCCGCGTGCCTCCCAGTGAAGCCTTGAGCTCTGTGAGGAGGCAGGACCTCTTTGGGAACTGGCTTCTTTGAGGAAAGAAGGTCCAGCACCTTCACCTTCTCATGCTCCAGCACCTGGAATGGCAGGTAT